TTTCCTGTACAGCACCGAGCAGTGCCTTGAACGGAGGTTACCTTTATGATTCACAGCATGAATGAGCACTTAGTGGGTGCATACAAGAGCACTGTACGAATCAGGAAATGGCTCTTTCAGGTCTCCTTACAAAAGGAAGTGAATCTGAAGCTTGCTGAATTTACAGAGAGGACATTTGTGAGCTTAATCTAGGGCAGGGGATGGGGGGAAGGGAAGAATTCCTTTTCTTTCACTGAGGTTTGATATGGGAACTGTGCATGTTTCTTTACACAATTTTTAACAACAAAAATAATAAAGGGGCTAAAACTGTGGTGGTGAGAGTTGTCTCCAGAGCTGCCTGCATACAGCCATAAAGACTCTTCTGCCTTCATGCTTCAGTGTCCAACCCGTTGTTGGAAAACATAGAGCTTTTCTATGTCCCTGAGGTAAAGCTGCAAATTGGCCCAGAGGGAACATCACCACATCCCTCTGCTCAGGACATCTGTCCTTCCCACGGTCACAGCTGGCTCACAGGGCACACCACAGCACTCCCGGCCAAGTGCTGGATGTGGCTCATTTCCAGTTCAAAGAAAGAGATTACTTCTTCAAAGGCACGGGTGCTGTGCCCTGGGGTTGAGCAAAGGTACTTCAGGTTTAGACTTGGAAGATTCAGATGCAGTAGGACACAGAACACAGCAGGATTTGAAAGATTTCCATTATGGGAGGTGGTATGGTCCTGCAGCCTTCACATCCTAACAGCCAAACAAGGGAGAAATTAGGTTCTCCTCCTGAGGTTATTCTTTCACCCAGGCACATAGTTGCTGAGCAAGTCCCTGCAGTGAGATGAGGCGCTCGCACGCAGCCCTCCAGCACTTGTCTGTACAGCAGTCTCAGGGCTGCAGGCCACCCTCCTCAGGTGAAAGGACTGATGGACCCAAGTGGGTGAAAGACTGCAGCAATAGCCTTCCTGATACACCATCTGCCCGCTCTGCCGAAACATGTGCAGTAAGTGACCCATCTTGTTCCTTCATAGTGCTGTCTTACAAACAGTTAGTGTAGCTGAACAAGATCTGGACACTCAGAATACACATAAAGCACATCCTTTAGCTTTAGCCTATACCAATTTAAGCTCTTGAGTCTTGTGCAGGTTTACATTCACACTATAAACAAAAAGAGAAGTTCCCTGACCAAGCTGTCCCATTGTTTCAAGGCCAGGTTGGATGGGGCCCTGAGCAACCTGGTCTAGTGAAAGGTGTCCCTGCCCATGGCAGGGGGTTGGAACTGGGTGGTCTTTTAGAATCCCTTCCAACCCAAACCATTCTACGATTGCCCCCACTGCTGTTTTCATGACGGGCACAGACTCCAGGACTGCAAATGTGAGCACAGTTCAGGCTGCTGCACGACTATTCCTGGGCACATGATAGCAAATCACCTGGGATCCATCTATCCTCTCTCCAGAAGATCCAGCAAAGCTTACCAATAACATCATGCCTCAGTAACCAGGCTTGGTGATGGATCATCGCATCCAACGTGCCTGCCAGAACTGGATGTGGCCTACCTGACTGACTGGCTTTGCCTGTTAGTTGGTAGACTTAGACCTTTAAATAAAAAATAAAAGGCCAGGAGTCAAGAGAGCCCGACAGCTCAGTCTGGGGTAGGCACTGTAGCTCCCTTTCCCATGCAGAAAGACATTTTTAGAGGAAGAAGACTGGTAACAAGCTGAGAGATATCCTGAGCCCACCTTTGATTTCCGCAGCTTTCAACACCAGTGCAACGGCTGCCAACACCACCAGCTTGAAAATGTGACTGTGGCAGCATTCTTATGGAATCCACAAACTTCAAGACAAGATGAAAGTACAGACCAGACTTTGGTCTTAAACCAGAGATGGTCAGTAATAAACTGCACTGACCAGAAATGAGAGAAAACACCACCACTGCATCAGTGTATCAACACTGCTTAGAGAGACCTTGAGAAAGCTGTCAGTCCCACTCAATTTAAGAGTCAACCACAGTCAAAAAAATACCAGACTCAGCTAATGGTCAGGGGGTTGTTACGCAATTAGAAACATCTTCTGTTCTGTAAAACAACTTCTCCTTTATAGTTAAGATATTATCATCAAAGGTTTTCCTTGTAAACAAGCAGCTTTTGTACCTGTGATAAACACCCAGCAGTGGGATGACCTAGCCAGCTGCCAGGCCATCCAGGTGCAATAGCTGACACTGCTTTAAGATGCTGCAAGCAGGAGAGTCCAGCAGGAAGCGATGCAGGCCTCCCCAGCATGCCTGAGGAGCCAAAATGCTCTTTGTCAATAGCAGTTGATCATGATGAAACTCGCTTTACAGAGAACTTGGGATCCATGGGAAGGTACAGAAATAACTTCTACAAAACTAAAAAAAAGGGAACGGAAACACATGCAGCAGGAGTTCATATTTTTTCTGAGGCAAATAATGTAACTCACACCAAGATTTTTCCACCAGGGCTAATAAACAGAGCAGTGGCGAGCCCTTTCAACTCCCAGGGCATTCTGTTCTCTAGGCCTAAAATACGATTCCCTCAATATCAGTCTTTCTCTTTACTGTACTGCAGCTATAGCTCTCTTTGAAGGTGACAGAGGCAATGAACAAGGATCCAAAACATTCCATTTAGTAAACCTGTGTCCAGGGCCTTCTGCAGTTAGAACAGAAATCTAAAGATTTTTGCAATGAACATTTGTGCCAAAATACCGTGGTTTTACTCCAGGCTGCAAGATGGTGCATATTTACCTGGGCCAACAGGACTACTCCAGGTTGGTGATGCTCTTTCTAGCACAAGGAGAGGCTATGCTGTCCACTTAAGTCAACTAACACAGGAACTGTCACGGCAGCACTGAGGGCTGCATAGGCCAACCTGATGATCTGAAGTTCTACAGCTTTCACATGCTAAAGAGATTAAAGATCGTGTTTTCAAGGAAGAGCACTGCAGCCTGGCCCCGACAGATCTGCTGACAGCCGCTATGGCCAAGGATGTTCAATGAGAACATGCTTTCCTCAGCTGTGGACTCCAGTTACTAAGACAAAAGGCTTCGAGGGGAAGGACGACCAAACTGCTGACATGAATCTTGGGTGGGGAATATACTGGTTTTAGCTTATGCTGTAATACCCACAGGCAAAGTCTGGCAAGGGAGAACGCGTGCACGCACGAATTAGTTCCATGCATCTGTGCATCGGTGTACATACATACAGGAACAGTGGTCAAAACTGCTCTCCTGTTCCTCGTCAGAAAGTCTGTGCCAAGCCAGTTGAATTTTTATGATCTCTTTGCACTCTTACCAGCATGAAACTTTTGTTTCCTGTACTTGTAAAACACAGAAGACAAGGAAAGGACTTCAGTTAAGGCTATGTTGCTCACAGTTTGGAACCATCTCCTCACCATGTGTGCATGCAGGTGCTCGAAGGCAGTCATTTCCTGCTAAATAAAAGCATTCTGTTTTGATGTCAATGGTTTGGGACGTTTTCAAGCAGCACTGTAAATATGCAGTGTGAAGATGTGATCAAGTGAAAAGCATTTAAGCCAAGTGATACTTATTTAACCCAGGATGTTTTAAGCAGATGTAAACAAAAATTAGAAGCCATGTTTTTTGAATGAGGATTAGCTAATAAAACAGACTGGACATGATAATTTTCACTTTGCTCTCCCAGGCAGCAAAAGGACACAGACCAACTAACAACTGCATTAAACACAAGAACAAGGAAAGCACACCTTGGTGGAGCTTAGGGGTGAAAATACCTGAATTACCAAGTAATCATGCTCTTAAACACCAATGTGGCGTACGCCAAATATTACTGAAAAGAAAAATGCAAGCATCTAAAGCCTATTTTTAAGGGAAGAAACAAATCTATGCTTGTATTGCAGGAGTGGTGTAACAGAGCAATTAGAGCTATGACCAGTATTTCCCAAGTTTCCTTTCCACTACTAACAAAAACACTACTTTGATCCTCCCAAGCCTGTTTGAACTATGTTGGTGAATTTAAAGTAAAAAACAAAAACACACACCCCCCCAAACCCCACACAAGAACTCTGCTCCCTTTGCTAAATCAACATCCATCTTTACCAGCCTAAAACAATCATAAAAACACGCACTGAACATGTTGGGAGATACTGTTTTTCTGCCCAAGGCAACCACATGCCTTATGCCTGTATTAAAAAAAGAGTTGGCCCACTTTATAATAGCCATACAGACTGGTATTTGCATTGCCAAGGTCTGGCGTTTTTCCTCTGAGAGTGTGGGATATGCTCAGCTGGAATATCTAACCAACTAATTACAAAGATGTTTAAAAGCATTTTGAATCCAATCTATGTTGTATTTTCTTCCCTGTTCTTTTTAGAAAGTTAACGTTTGGAACAAGCACACATTTAATTCCATCCTTCCCCCATTCCTCATATTCTGCTTTAAATGCTCTGAGCTACTCGGATTACAGTAACTTGTGAAGCACCATGCCCCAGAAAAGACACGCATGGAAATGGCAACAAATGATGAAAGGCTTTTATTGTGCAATGATTTCAAAATGCTGGAAATCCCTTTGTATTTCCCTTCGCTTCACTTTTTCCTCCCCTCCCTGGCAGGGAATAAGGAAACAGCCAAGTTATTCTATAGCTAGTTCCCACCACCGTAACATTCTGGTTCCCATTGAGCTGTGCCTTCAAGCAGAAACAAGAACAAACATTTACAGCTCCATTCCCATCCATCTAGTAGACAGGAAATCACAGATGCTTCATTATATACCTCCCGCTGGCACTGATGAGGTAGAAGATTTGTATAGAAAGGAGGGGGAGGCTTGGACAAAACACAAGAGTCATTGTAATTGTCCTCATTCATAATTCTTTTAGTTAATGTCAGCCAAAACATCAAGCTACTTTAAGCTTTTCCTCACCGTTAAAAAATACAGGCATTGTTAACAGCATCTCAAGAACCTTTCACAGACAGTCCAAAGATCATCTATACGAACTTAAAGAAAATAGGAGGAGGGAAAAAACACAGGATCATTTTGTGTAACTGAATTTTATTTTATATATAAATAATAACAATAGGCTGGGGAATTTTGAGACTTGCTACTTGCAATGCTGACCCTGCAATGGGACAAGCATGGGCAGATGTAAGTCCCACTGCAGAACGGAGGACAAGGTCTCAAGACTGCCCCAAAATATATATATATAGTGTCCTTTCAGTTTCCATACCAGAAGCCCAAGCAGCACACCGTCAATCTTTCCTGAGGCAGAAGGCAGATTAGTCACATTCAAATCACAATAGATTCAGATGGTTTTCCTTTTTCTTGGGAAATGGTTGCTCAGATCTGTATTTTTTACATTCACCTACAGCCAAAGACAGAAGGGGGAGAGGGAAGGAGGGAGAAAGCAGAGTTAAATATCATAGGCCTTTTTCTTTCCATTGTTGAAATGCAGTTAAAACTTTTTTCCTTTGATGTGGGAAGTTGATCAAAATGTATTTGAGGAACATTCTCAATACCAATTTACTACTAGTAAAGATATTTAACTCTTCATATTACTGACATTGGAGCACTAATGATTATGCCTGCTCTTGAGAACTTGATTCCTATAGTTGATCTGTGCAGAAATGCACAAGAGAGGACATTTCGCAGCAACAAAACACCAACTGGAATCTCATGTAACAAACCAACTTTCTCAAAAAAAATTTTTTTAATTCCCATCAAATGCATTTTATCCTAATCTGACTTTACTATGGTGTAAACTTAGGGTATTTCATCTCAAAGAAATGGAATTACGTAAATATGGAACCCCAGCAGAGTGAGAATGAGATATGCTATCTTCATGGAAAAACACAAAGCCATACCACTCTTCAGCACAACAGCTGGATAAAATTAAAGCTTGCTTCTCCCACAATGGGATGTGGTTTGAGCTGTAGTTTGCATATAATTATTGATGACAAACACGCTACAATAAAGGAGGTGCAATGCTGCTGGGTTTTGGAATGGAGAGATACGTTACTGTCTCCAACACACAGTGATTTTGTCCTTGGCTGACCATTTACAATTCAGAAACCCATGCTGTGGCAAATCATTGAGGAAAATGAGATTGTCTTCATTTTAGAAACCACATTCAGCCAGGAGTGTTGCCAACAGTTGGAAATACAGTGAGACTTTCAGGACTGATCTCATTCCGAATAAACAAATATGTCTTTTCCAAGATCACAGCAGCATTCTCCAACTTCTGGGATCATCCAAATCCAACAGAACATCTGGGTATGGAGTTAAATAACTGGATTTGATTTCAAGCAGAAGTAACAAGCTGCCACCCCCGCAGAACAGCTGAAAACTGGTACTGAGCTGAACTTTGACTAGGTCAGAAATCCAGCGGTTCCAGGTATGTACCACCTCCAGAAACAGCATGTGGTGGAGCAAGCAGATTTCAAAACCAGCAGCAGATAGGTACTGTAAGCACCTGAGCAACAATCTTCACTCTTAAAAAAGCCCCACAGACATCTGAACATCTGTGACAGCAGCTGTTAGTGAGCTTTTCCTCAAAACTTAACTTACAGTTATGTTTTTTTATGTAAGAGAGAGAGAAAGCATATCTATGATTAAAATCCTAAAGACAAAGGGTCTGGATACCAACTTTACTGTAAGTCTCTCTGACAGCTTTTGTTCCTTTTCTTCCATCACCTCCCTTTTCCTTTAAGCAAAAAGCACTAACATTTCAAACAGTGAATAAAGACCTAACTGAAATTATATTTACATAGTGAGAAATGCTAAAAGCAAAAAAAAATTTTTTATGGATTAGTTTGTAATGAACCTTGATACTTCTAAGTGTCTCACTTAAACGAAGGTTCAACTTTCCTGGCTTTTTATCATTTAGTAGCCATGACCTAGTTCACAAGGAGCACAATATTTTAGTGAATTTAGAACAGCTTTTTCTTCCTCTTGGTTCTCCGGGGTATCTTTACTCAAAAAAACAACCAATCCCACTGTTACTCCTTTTTTAAATTCTTTTTTATTTTCCATGGCTATTGTGGAAAATACTTGGAAAATGGGTGTTCTTTAAGACTTTATATTCATATGTCTGAAGGAAAAACTAACACACGCAGTAAATCAGCCAGCCAGCATACCTTTGCCCTTGTGAGAATTACCTATAGCAATTAACAATATATTAAGGGAAACACAACATTAGAAGCTACTTTTGCTTTTAACGCTGACCGTGCGAGAGTGGAACGCTGTTGCTCAGCAGATGTACGCGTTCCATCACATCTGCAAATATTTGTGACAGGTGATGATGCATGGAAGAAAAAATTGGTGCAGTTTCCTAAATCAGGACTCTATCTACAGAGCTGGCAGTTAGGTAAAACCAAGATTTTTCTGGTAAATGGAACACTGCGTACAAAAATAATGGGGAGTCCCTGCAATGCTAAGAACACTTTCTGATGAAAACGAAGTTTTTAATACAATGTGAAAACAATACAGGGCAATGACAAGCCACCGGAAAACCTGTTCAGAAATGACATCCTTTATCAACTGATTACAGAGCAGACATTATCTGCTTTTTTGTACTAAATGACGTCCAATTACATTATCATTATCAAGTATAAGGCAATTTTTGTCCTATGAAACTGAACCATCTTAAAGCTCAGAGGATGTTTTTGGGTTTGGTTTTCTTGCTTTTCCAAAAACAGTAACCGTCACAGGACTTGCTTGAGTTTGAAAGCAGCCCAGTGGCTAAGCCAGGAGCCTGTGCCTCAACTCGAGTTTCTGGCTTGGAGAACTGGGAAATGAGGCCTCCATTTCCTCCGTCATTCATTCCCAGCTGATGCAGCACATCTCACTGAGGAGGTGCATCAACATGAAAGGTCAGGCATGTTGTGGACTGACTGTTAAAATCTGCAAGATACACACTGTACACTGGCACTGACAAATCTTTAGAGAAAACGTATCGGCAGGGAAGAGGTTTCTTTCCCCTCCTTCATACCTGCAGAGGTGTGATGAAGGCAAAGAGGTTTTGGTATGGGAGGCAGAAATGGGAAGGGAATAAAAAAACCTCAACAGACCAAAAAACGACCAACAATATATGAACAAGGCCTTGCTAAATTAACTTGGAACCCTGGTAGGAGAGAGATATTTACTTGCTATGCTTTAAAATTGAAGAATTTAGGTTGGTCAAATTTGCAAATCAGTTTTTCCAGGTTATTTTGCCACTTTAGCCATACACTATTATCGGTTTTCATCCTTTACCTGTTTGACACCAAGTGATTTGTTGTTCTACTTCTTGGCTTGCTCTTCATTTGAAGCAGCACGGATTTCCAGGGGCTTGTCACCATCTGCATCACCCTTGAGGAGGGAAAAGTACACATAAAATTTAAATTGACGCAACCCACAATTACTGTTTTTGCCAGAACAGAAACTCTCTTCAAAAGCTAAAACAAAAAATCCTTGCAAAGTCAAGTGGTTGATGAGACTAATTCTGTATAATATACTCAAGTATGATCTTCTCCCAAACGGTTTCTAGATTTTAGTCTTCCTGTAGTTAGCTGAGCAATTAAAGCATTTGAAAGAACAAGTAGTTCAACAGAAATGTTTTAATTGACTCATTTTGCCTGCACTAATAACAGAGGATGAATTCCCACAGAGTAGCTGCTGTTTTGCATTCTCTGAATTCTGTTTGGATTTATACAATAGGTCTCTTTTAGTACATATCCTTTGAGAGAGTGTTCTCACACTTTCCCTGAAATAAATGATAAAGTCAAAGAATGAAGAGAGGCTTGTTAGGGCGTCTGGTCTATCTATTTGCCAAGTATGCTGTAACAAACAGGCATTTGATTATAGTTTTAAAGATATCAATAAAAAAATAATACTTAAAGGGCCACACATGGCTCGGAGACCGAAGCACATAATGCACAAGGACAGGCTGAGAGATGTGGGTCTGTTTAGCCTGGTGAAGACCAGACAAAGGGGGAACCTAATTGCTATCCCCAGTTCCTGAATGGGCATTTACATATTCAGAAGAGCTAGGCTGTTCTCAGAGGTTCACACCAAAAGGACACAGGAGCATGGCAAAGTTCTATGACATCTAAGGAGCAAAAAAAAAATATAAATGTCTCACACTGCAGCAGGAGCACTGGAGGAGATTTTCCAGAAAACTTTTTGAATCTCCATCCTTGGAAATATTCAACACTCGATTGCACAAGGCCTGAGCCACCAAATCTTGGTTCGAAGCTGTCTCTGCTTTGAACAGGGGGGTTGGAGGGAGTGATTGGAGGTCACACCCAGCCCCAATTATTCTTAAATTTTACACACGAAAATTAAATGGCATTTTCTTTTTATTCTGAAAGGTATTTTTACCAATATGACTTAAATGTGATGGAAAATGTAACAAAAGAAGCCAGAAGAGACTGGAAAACAAACATTTCGCAGGATGGGCAAGATTTATGTCCCACCACAAAGCAAACACTATGAATAAAGCATCAAGTCTGTGAGACCTTACATATGCTGTGCTGGGGATATGGATTCAATACACTAAAATTCAGTTATGAAGATAATCCTTAGATTTCTATTTTAACATATGCCTGGCAAGACCTTTAGAAGATAATCCTTTTCAAAACCCCATTTTGTTCTGATCACTACCCTGGATATTTCATAGTATAGGAAATCACACCCACAAACTACACCCACTGCACAATAATGATCTACTCCATAATTTTCCTGTACAGGAACATGTGAGTTATGACATTTTACTACAATTTATAGTGCATAATCTGACTCATGATGCCTCATTTTAAGGATTACTCAATCCTGAATAAATGAGCTAAAAATAAGTTGTTCACAGAGAGTTCTCTGTTTCTGCACTTGCTTGTCTTAACTTGTAAAAAGCCATCATCATCCAGGTAAGCTTCCTCCTCCCTGCTCCCTTTTTGACCTGAAAGAGGAAAACGAACACCTAAACAACACACACAAACCTACAGGAAAATAGGGGTCTTGCTCTGTTCCTTTGTTTCTGTGAGCTCAGTAGATCTCATCACAGGGCTTGTCTCACTACATGTGTTAAAACCAAGTTATTTAACTGAAGCCACTGCTAAACTGCCATTCCTCATACAAACTCATTTACAGAATTAGCAATTAAGATGTTCTATTGACACCATCCACTATATGCAACCACTATGTAAAGAGTGAGCCTGAGTGAGACTGATAAAGCAGCAATATGGGTAGCCAGAAAAGGATGTCCTTCAAGCTGGCATACGAAATAAACACACCTCATTTTACAACAAAGTGTCCAAGTCCTCTAGCCGCACTCAGAACCAGACCAGAAGCAAAAAATGTGTTTAGATCAATGACCCAGAAGACAGACCTGCTCTGTGCCATGATGCCTTCTCATAATTAGAAGTAGGCACATATTCAAGACAGTCTTTCTATGTTCTGGATCCACACAACCGCTCCATAACGTGTCTGGGTGCCCAGAAAAGCCCACACATCAGAGCTCCACCCCACAGTAGAAGGGGAAACATTTTGCATTATTACGCTTCTGACAGTTTGACAGGTGACTAGTATCTCCATAACACATTAATTAGTAAAGTGCTCAATACACTGGGATTCCACAGGATTAAAAATTATGAAAATATAATCATTAATTGAAACTTAATACAATATTTCAACTAAGGGTCCCGATGCAATGCTCTTTGTCAGGTTTCAGTACACCCCAACTTAGGTCACAGTATCTAACAGATACATTAAGACCTAAACCTTAAGCAACAATGATTTCTCTGAAAATTTTCCTTCCATACAGAGAAAAATGACCAAAAGCAAGCCAGCCTAATGTCAAAAACCCCAAATGTGTGGTGGCTTTTTTTCCCCATATTACAGCATAGCCAAGTATAGGCAGCTTGTGATGCGGCCTTTGAAAAGGTCTTGTAGATGGCCAGGCCTTTTTACGCTAGCACCTAACCTTAGAAATTCTACCTCCAAAGGCAGGTATACATCTCTCTCATGCTTATGGAAAACTCTTGCAAGGTAAAGCAGCCACCAGAAAACAACAGCAGCTGCAAAAGAAAAACAAACGCTTGTGTAGGCTCACAGATTAACAGTTTACTTTTTCTTCTGCCCTCTTTTGTTTGCAATGTGTGCTTCCAATAAAGAGAGTATCACTAGTTTACCTTATTCATGCTTCCCCAGTGAATCAATAACAACTTCTTTTTAGTTGAGCTTGAACTTGACCCTCTCAGAAATATGAAGCACTTTTAAAAACATTACTCAGAGCTGCCCTTAAAAAGTCCAACTTGTCTTTCCCACCTCTAACGTTTCAGTTTGCCACTGCCCAGAACAAGGATCCAATCCAGGAGGAGCAGTAATTTTTACGAGGTTTACTCTGTTGTTTTTCTTACTACCAAACAATAAAAGGAGAGCATATGACAGGAAACAGTAGCCAGACAAAGTTTAGACTAGGTATTAGGAAAGATTTCTTTACTGGGAGGGTGCTCAGGCATTGGAACAGGCTGCCCAGGGCAGTCGTGGAGTCACCGTGCCTGGAAGTGTTCAAAAACCATGTAGATGAGGCCCTCAGTGACATGGTTTAGTGGTGGGCTTGGCAGTGCTGGGGTAATGGTTGCACTCGATGGTCTTAAAGTGTCTTTTCCAACGTAGTTGATTCTATGATGACCAAACTTTTGATTGCTTGTTCAGAAGCTACCAAACACAAGTCCTACAAACACCTGCTGTGCAAAGAAGCTTTCTCAGCTGCTTACGCTGTTTTTTAAAGGATGCTCAAAACACAAGCTGACTTAAAAACACTCCTCTCAAACACAATTTAAGCTTGCTACAGTCACAGCCTATGATTCTGACAGTAAAGGTCCACTGACACCAAAGCTTTCCAGTGGGAAAGTTCAGGTTCACAATTCCCCTCATGCTTGCTTTAAGCAACTGCAGGAAACCAGCACCCAGAGCTGAGCAGTCTTTGTGCCTGGAAGCACACTGTCACCAGCTAGCACTTAAGAAAATATCCAGATGTAACCATATAAATAGATTTTTTAATATTTATATCTTACGTGTGTGATTAAGTACCTATACAGGTTATATATATATTAAAAATATATTATTATTGGTAAGTCACAGATGGTTTCTATCAACAGACCAGGCAGGAATGAAAACGAAGCAGTGAGCCACAAGAGTTTTTCTCCATCTCTGAAGCTGTTTAAACAATCAAATGACAGACAGCAGCGGGGGGGAACCAAACCAAAACACAAACCCAGCCGTTTCTGTAAGATCTTATTATTGGTTGGACTGAAGCAGGAAAGAGCACAAACATGAAGAAAGGAACAGGACCTGAAAAGGAGGGTGATTTTAGAGCTCTAGTGCTGTTCTGCCTTTCCACATTTTGGCCACGTCAGTAAAAAACAACGGGTACCCAGCTCAGTGTAAGGGGAACTGAGAGAATGCAGCATAGCTGAAAATACAGCAGAAGTCTTTGAGTGGTATAATGACAAAACAAAGTGAGAACTAACTGAAGAAAATCGTTTTTCTATGTGTTTCAGTACATTCTAGCTCACTGTCTGGAACAAAAACTGGGTTTACATGACTTATTGACCTAACACATGGTCTTGTCACTTGAAGACAGTCACATTATAACGAGAGCTCACAACCCAACAGAACAATGCAACTGTACAGATTACAGAAGCATCGAAACCAGAGGCAGAAGAGGAAGGGCAAAAAAGCTGCAAAAATATCAAATGAGCTGACAAACAGGACCAGATCTGTTAGATATTTATATGTGGTATGTATTGCACTGAAATACTGGCTCTGAAATACTGATCTTTAAGCAGTTGTCTATAAAAAAGTTACTATCCTTTGCACAGAGAACTACAGTCCTTTAGTTTATGCTGTTGTACAAAATCCTCAAGCTGCTATGGTTTGTCCATCCCTTCAACCTAAGGACAGGTATTAAAGCTGACAAACTCAGTCAGTATTAAAGACAGATTGTGGAGAGGGGGGCAGAGGAGAAACTGCAATTTACTAGCCTAACAGTTCAGCTAGTTCAACACTTTTGTAGGCACTGGAAGGCAAGTGTAGAAGAAAAGAAACGTAGGAAAAGATCTCTCATTAATGATGATACTGGGCAGAGCAAAGGGACCAGTTACTCACATAGACTAGCTGAAGGCAGAGCAGGGCATTAGCCTTTGTAACTGCAAACCCCATTGATGAAAGTTTGATGTCACACAAGGCTCCTCAGAAGGGTTTCAAATACATCATTCTAAAAACTGCATAAAAGCATCAGTTGGTATGATTCTCTAGAAATTCTTCACACTACATTTAAGATAAACAAGGTTTGAGGGACACATCTTCCATTTCACTGTCACTTCCCCTGAAGATTTACAACCTGATAATATAAACATGAATACCAACTCCACCGATTTTTGTGGAATTACTTCTTGTGAGCAAAGATCATTCAAGCAATCAAAAGATTTTCAGAAGATAAAACCCTTAAAATAACCCTTAAAATATACCTGGCCTTCCAACAAGATGGTTACATTTCTACTTCTTCCCCCAAATAGAGGAGAGGGTAGGAAAAATGTTTTCCACTTTTGTCCTGGGTTCAGCTATAGCAGTCATTTTTTTCTCCTTCTTAGTAGCTGGTGCAGTGCTGTGGGTTTGACTTTCAGCCTGGGAACAACGCTGATTACACCGATGTTTTTAGTTGTTGCTCAGTAATGTTTACTCTGACCAAGGACTTTCTCAGTCTCATGCTCTGCCAGGGAAGAGGGGAAGTCAGGAGGAAGCAGAGACAGGACACCTGACCCAAACTGGCCAAAGAGGTATTCCATACCACAGCACGTCATGCCCAGTAAAAAGTTTTTTGGAGAGGAGGACACCGGTGCCTCAACCGTTGCCATGACAACTTTATATTGAGATAAAATATACAGAAGCTGAATAACTATTCTTGTTGTCTCTCATTAGGAAAAGGTTTCACCCTTCTGGAAATAAAAGATATGAACACTGATTTTTACTGATGGTACTTGTATAGTTTTAGCAGAGGGCTTTCACCCCGGCATCCTGAAGACCTGGCTCCTTCAGCAAGCCAGCTTCAGGATACCAGAATGCTATATACTGTAAACAGCATATTCAAAACCTTATCAGACTGACTTGCTTCATGGAGTGGCTCCAGCCACAGTGTTTTGAAATGCAGCAGCAGAAGGTCCTGGAATTCATCTTTCTTGGCAGAACTTCTATGTCAGTTGATGTGACCTCAATTTGGCACAGGTTTTTGTTTCATAAAACCTTCAGAAAATTAACATACCACATCTATTTCAATGACATATTGCTGCACAAACATGAAGTTATGCACAGCTGTGGTACCTATGACTACCAAATTATGAGTGATGTAACAAATTAACACAAGCCAAGAAGAGCCACCCATATCTTGCTTGACTATTTGCCAGAATCCTTTGTGTAGCAACAGGAAAATGATAATATGAATGTCACAAAAACAAAAAGTAACAATTTTTGCTCTGGCATGTTTTCACCAAATGGGTTACATATGCTGTAACAACAACTCAAGAATAACATTTCTATTTACCTTCACTAGTTAGGGAATCTAGCTGCCTAGTACCACAATAAGAAATATACGTACAAAACCAACTCAATTCTTCCACAAAGCTACCAAATTAAGACAGAAGTCCCAGAATCTATCTTAGAATGCTTTGCCGATTGTAGTACACAATAGTTAGAAGTATTTCTTTTCTTCCATGACACTTCTGCTTCAGTAAAAGCTCCAATAAGATGCAACTTAAACAGAAATTCTTTTGCTGGAAAAGTCAATAGTGATTTGGTGGATCTAGCCATCTGTATGAAAGAAAGAGTACTTTTTTGCACTGGTACAACCACACAGCATTAGAGACAGACTGAAAGCTTCACCTCTCACATCTCATGTTAGGGACATACCAGTGCTTATGTATAAAAAAGAGGCAGAGGTTTTCATTATTAACTGTGACCAACTGCATCCTGACAGAACATCACATCTTTAAAAAGCCCAAAACAATTAAACCAAAAGAAGGAAAAAAAACCCAAAACCAAACCAAACTCACTCCTACCCCCACTCCCCAGCTCCCCCCCCAAAAAAAAAAAAAAATTCTCAAGTATGTATTTTATACTACTTCACCAATGCAGACTGAAGGAAGTTCCAGACCAGACTTCTTCTATTAGAGATCATTGTCAGTACACATTCTAGTGATTTCTAAAGCACGTGACTTTTGACAACTGCTGTTCAGCTTCTCCAGACACAGGGGAGACGAAACCCTCTCTTTAATAACCTCAGAGGACAAAAACAATGGGGCTGTAGGTTGTATGCTCCAGTGGTAAGGGATCACTGAACATGTGAAACGCAGGCAATTTCATCAAGTGCATAGTGCTTCTTCATCCCAGTCACAGGATTTCTGTATTTTGCCTAATCCATCAAGTAAAATGGCAACAGTTAACACTAACGATACCTGAACTTTAGGAGGAAACCATTCAATGGCATTTTGCTCCTTTGTGTAAGTATCATATTTTGGCAACTAAGGGGTGTGATTTAAAGATTCTGCAAGGAGGAAGAGAAAGAAGTCTGTTTACTTAGTGGTCTCTGCAATTTTGCCTGTCGTTTGTTTTTCTGCTGAGGTAGCAAGTGCTTGCATAAGCCTTACAATAAGATAAAAGCTTCAAAAGTTTTTGCCTTCCAATAACAACCATGTGTTTCCTTTTGAAAGTCTGGGACACAATAAAATAAAAAGCTCAGCTAATTTTTACTGATGCTGTCAGTTTGTCTTTCTGAAATATTTTAATGTTGCCTATTCTTTGTGATACTTTTTGGCAGCCCAGGTTTTAGGAAAGGTACAGTACAATTAACTAACCTTTGTTTATCCAAACAGCTATGCAAGTACAGTTACTGAAGCACCTAGGGCCAATACAGGATGAGTATTCACTGATGAAAAGTCTCCACTCTCATAAAACTCAGCAACTGAACTGAGCTTGTTTGGAACTAGTCCCACACCTAGATCTACCTATGGAACTTGGTCCCATACCTGCAGTCTTTTCAAGTGCAACTGCCTCTCCAAAACAGATGTTTTGGATCTAGCTGCCTAAAGGCTAGATCCCCTTTATGTCTTAGGCCTGTGGGTTGAACACACCATGTTCTGGTCAGATATGACTTCTGGCTTACAACAACCCAGTGTGAACTACTATCAGTCATGAGTTATGGCTCAATCATGAAGTTCACAGCGAAAGACTGTGGACTTTCTGCTGGTTCAAAGTTGTTTTCAAATCACCTGTTAGCTTTTTAAGTATGGCAAAACTGCCTGTGCACAGTTCTGCACAACTGGCTCTAGGTGGCCCTGCATGAGCAGGGGGTTGGACCAGATGACCTCCACAAACCCCTTCCAATCTCAACCATTCTGTGGTTTTATGCAGGAATATATATATATTATATCTTAAAAATCAAATATACATTCTTAATATACACTGCTTTAACACACAAACATATGAGCAAGTAGTTAGATGACAATACAAACACTAACTCTAAACCACTTCATGTACACTGAATAATATTACTTAAATATAGTACAACTACTTTGTTGACTATAAATGAACTACGGAAGAGCACACTTGCTGAGATATTGAGATATAAAGTAACTAAAGGCACAGATGCCTTAAAATGGTGGTATTGCATAAGCACGGACCGCAGGAGTGCTTGGAAAAAAGTCTTCCCTTCTCTGGTAAAGTGCAGGGAAATCCTACTGTATTACTGATGCTTTGTAGGAAGAGTAACGAAAGCCACTCTGTTCTAAAACTGAAAATATGCAGACATTCACTTAGTTGCGTTACCAACGTTCGCTCAAAAATGCTGTTTTATAGAAACCTCAGTGCTTGCCAAACTCTGGAAAACAAAGTCACTATGTTAACATTTGCTCTGTCATCAGATGCAGACATCTCTAAGGTGAGACATCAGTCTGCTTAGTGTAACACAGAACAGTAATGCCAGACCAAAACAAAAAAAAAAATAAAATCATGTACGTGAACGTTAACCCTCCCCCTCATCCAGTGTTTAACAACTGGATACCTAGAAAGCAGAAACTTTCAGCAATGACTGTGCTTGGTACCTCACCAGGATGACCGGTTCAAGGCAGATTCAAAAGAAACTCAGTTTTTATTGGCAGTCTTCTGGATAAGAACCAATTAAACCAAAGATTCCTAAAATACAGCTGTAAGTATTAGACCACACAGCTAGTTATCTATGACTAAAGCCCTAATAATTGCATATCCCTATGAACTGCTGGGTTTTTGACTAGACAGTAATGTTTAGCAGAGCAGCACACAATAATATCATGCCAGAGCAAATATTCATGAAGATTCAAAGGAAAAAACAAAAAGGGAATAAACTGGAAACAAGAGTCTAATGAAAAAAGAAAAAGTTATTTCAGATTTTATGAGGGAGCTTGTTGTCAAATAACTTTTTAAAGAAAAGTTTGTGGTTTTTTTAATTCATCAAGACCCTCAGAGCCTGATCCCTCATATTACAACTGCAATACTGCCAACTTTCATATTAAACACTTAGTAGATCATACTAAAGTAAACTTCCAAACAGTATATCTGAAAGTTAAACTTGAAAAAAGCTTAATATTTTTCCACACCTTAGAGAGAGAGAGAGAATGAAATCTGTGTCTTCAGAAATAAAAGCTGAATCAGAGTGGAAAAAAACCCACTATTGCTCAATATTCTGTCTGAAAATGCAACAGAATTGAGAAATTGAGTTCCTCAGACTTCTTACCTTACCACCTTTTTCCCCAGATTTCTTCTTCTTAGGATTATCCTTCCAAAGAGATTCTACAGCAATATATCCCTGTAGACTCCAGTCATACAGCTGTGTACCAGCAACCTTTGAAACAAAAGGTATCAGAAAGCATGAATTTAATAATCTGGGAAATACTACCTTGCTTCTTATTTAATTGGAAGAAGTCTCAAAACACAAGATCTCTAACATCCTCCTGTTAAAGCTCAAGGTGTACAGCATTAATAAACATCTTGAAAGCAAATGACACATGAGAAATAAGATGATCCAATTTGCTAAAAATCCTGTCTGAAGACTACCTGAAAATATATCTGTATAAAAAAGGGGTGGAATGATGCTACACAGAAAAAATTCTGGTCTTCTTAGTACTTGATATTCTACAGATATAACATACACAAATTACTTCTTAATTTGACCATACTCATTTTAAAGACAAAAATGCCAAACTTGCTTATTTTGTCGCTATTTTGCAATTTCACATTTTCGCCACTTTGAGAGAACAGTGATAGTACTCCTTTGTTTCTTTTCATTAGCTATTTAGAATAAATTTGCTGATAGATGGCTGTAACAAATAACGAGCTATCACCACACACGTCAGAAGACGGCTAGGAAATACGGTGTTTGCTATATTACACCAACAGGTAATTTTATGCCAGGAAGAATCCCCAAGTCTCATAAAAGAGTATCTCCTACCTCTTACATGATATGAGACTGTAATATTCACATCATCCTTTAAAACTGAAGAGTGTCAGGTTCTTACAACTTCAGACTCGGGTCAGTACTCACTTCCATATCATTATCAGTTTTCTTTATTTATAAGAGCACCAAAAATGGAGAATTTGCCCAATTAGACAGCTATTAAACTAAAAACTTATAAAAATCAAGAAATCAGAAGGTATCACCCTATCTTCCACAGCAGGCAAAGCTGGAAAACCAAAACTATGACAACAGGGGTTGTCTGCAATATGACTGAGGACACAGCTGGCAATATAAAACGAGAAACATTTTTCATTCCTGGTAGGTTTGTACTGCTTACACCACTGGCCACACTATCTTCCCAGGTGAGTCATAAGCTCCTCAGACTTTCAGAAGTAGTTTGTTGAAGTATTGAAAAATACAGTTCAAGACAGACTGAAAGCTGCAAATCTGAGTCAACAGGAACATAGCCAGGAAATTTTTATAACCACCCAATGCATCCTATGGAGCAGAATTACAGTTAGCAATTCTTTATCTACATTGCATGCTGGGAAACCAAGAATCTGCTCGCTTTTCTATATCTATGTTGTTAACAGAGTAGTCATAGTGCAATTTCACAAGCACTCCATTCTGCAGTAAACATGGATCAAGTGAGCCCAACTCCTTCTTTCCAACGCTCAGTTCCTGTAATTATGTCATGCCCTCAGTTGTGCCAGTACAACCAACATATGCCTCATGGACTGAACTGGGCAAGGGATGAGGTGTAGGTTCAAGAGACATAGAAGTAACTTAGTTTGTCAACAAAGAAATAAACTTAGGTATTAGGAAGTTTTTCTTTCTTTCAAGAAAAGGGTAAGCATAACGCACATTACTTTAGGAAATGTGAGAAGGTCTAATAACAAGGACCAAAATTAATTCTAATTATTAAAAGACTGATGTAAGTAACATCATAATGGAAAGTTTTTTCCAGATGGAAGATAAGCCACAGTAGCTAGAAAAATATTTAAATGTATTATGATTAGCTGGAAAGCAATACAGCTCCAGAACACTAGTTAAAGTTCCACCAGAACAAAACAAATTTCAGTATTAAATTCAGTTCCCTTACCACATATACCATCTGACCACTTGTTCAAAGTTAAACAAATGGAAGTAATACTAGCAGTGAGGAAATAAATGCCTTATAAATTGTGATTTATTAGAATGCTTACTAAAGCAGAAAAAATGGAATAATTAGTCTGTACATTTCTTCCATCTCTAGTTAGATGAGCAGTGCCTGAAAAACTACTACCAATTATGATCTCTGTTGCTGTAATTTCACTTACAACTCATTTTAATTGAAAGAAAAAGGTTTTCTTCCAGAGAGGCTCATCAAGTGTTGCACCTTAACTGGAAATATATTTTACTGTGTTTATTTCCAGCTCTCCAATGGACAGTCTTTAATAAAAGGTCAGAAGGAAAAAAACAAAACCAAAAACCACAAAAAAAAGGAAAACAACAAAACCAAAACACATGAAAACTTTTAGTTTTCTAAAGTATGTTCAAAATTGAAAGTTTACAAAATGAAGAAGTGATGAAATACGCAGGTGTGGAAGAAAAAATTAAATAATATAGAGAATAAATTTAAAAAAATAAAGCTTAGTTCCAGAATATTTCCTACACTGTTCTATTAATTTGGCAAGTGAGCTTTGCACTGTAGGCATCCCTTTCTAGGCTTTCATTTTATGAAAGGCCTATGAAACATTACGAAATAATTACTAGAGAGGAAAGTGCTTCCAATTTCAGATTAAAGCATAAAAATTATGGATAGCAAGATGTGACATGCTTAAAACTTTGCTTTTTTAAAGAAAATCGTGAGATCAATTAGAGGAATCCAAACAGTACCTAAGATACCACTCTCTCCACAGAAGTTTCCAAACTCTTACATCCAGTGTCCTAACCAAGTCAACAAAGCTAAACCTATCCCAACCAAGTTTCAGGCTCATGGTCTCATATCAGATGTTTTGTTACAGTCAGAGTAAGAACTGTGAATTAATCAAAGGGCAATCACGCACTTCAAAGTTTTCATAAAATAAACAAAGAATTGTGAAGCTGTTAGTAGCAAATCCACAGTTAAGACTGAACTGAGCTTCTGTAAAAACGGTAACATCAGTTTGAACAATCTTCAATCACTTCCCACTTCACTGTTCAGAAGGCAGCTAGAATTTTAACACACAGTTTCCAACAGAAATGTCTGAGCTTCTTCATTTTTGATGGTTCGGTTGTGGTTTTTTCCCCTGCTACTTGCATAATTTTCACTCCCTGAGCATAAGTCAACAGAACAGTCTGTATTTAGAGCATCTGAACCCTGGAAGCACTAAAAAAATATCTGATCAAAGATGAGGGTACCACAGTGATGGCAGAGTTCAAACACAGTGCTTTTGACTTTCCAGTCTAAATCAATGTCTTTTCAGTTTTCAAAGAACATCGTATGTTCTTGAGAATGTCATATTCACACCCTGACATCTCAGTGTCATTCACAAGTCACCATTAACCAGACAGGCAGTTTACCAAAGCCTGAAATAGAAAGAATTTCTGACACACTAAATTATGTGCACTGTGAGTGGTTAAAAGCTGGACTTGAAAAAGAATGTGGCGGTGAACTGAGGAACTACCAGTACAACTGAGTGTGGACAGCAGGGGCTGTAAGCAAACTGCCTGGTCTTTTCAGTTCTTTCTTTCACAGGAAATCCACTTGAGCAACTGTAAGTGAATATGTTTCTCATGTGCATGAAACAACAAATGCATAAACAGGAAAGGCATCCAATAAGCAGCAGAATCCTTACCCCATTCCAGAATGTGCATGCTATCTTAAAACTCTATCCAACAAAAAGCAGAAAACATCAACAATGTTTATCTCAAAATGTTGTTCCTGTGATTTCTCCATAGTGTCCCTCCCCTTCTTCTGTTTCTTCCTTTCTTTCAGACCCTGCTGTCATTTGCTTTCAAGATATTTCAAGCTTCCTTAGTACTGTAAGTAAACATGCAAACTGTACTTACTAAGCATATCTATGTTGATTTATAATTACTTGAGGTTAGAGATTCAGAAAGGAAATCATGTTCCTCAAACTGAAGAAACTACAGCAGATGTTAGAAAAGTCACTGAAAGAACCAGAGCATCTGACCCTCCTTCAGTCTAGGTTGCACTTTCTTTGACAAAGTAACTATTGCCTTAAGTGTCAAGCACACTGACATGGCTTTTAAAAATGGATTACCAGTTAATCTGAAGGTAGGAGGCAATAATCAAAGCAAAAAACACTTCTCCAAAAAAGGGTATCATCACTGACCTTTGCAATAGCAACCGCTTGCTGAGGGTAATACATAGAGGTACCAATACCCATGAGACCTGCAGGATACACTAGCTTCTTGATTTTTGAACCTGTTTCATAACAAAAAAACCCAAAACATTGTTAGAGTATATGTTAACTAAGACAGCCAAATGGTCCTAACCTTTTATTTATAATCAAAACAATTTTATTAAATACAGTTTAGCATATTCTCTGCTCAGTGATACTGGTTTAAGAAACATGATTACTCTGACAAGTAATTATTCTTTCAGCCTTTATAAGAGAATAATTTTATTAACATCTTTCCATAGTGAAAAGTACCTTACAAATCTATTTACTGTAGGAATACATAATTTATGCCATACTGAACATCGAAGTAGAACACTGAATAATGTAGAAGCTACACTTACGAGATACTTAAGAGAATGATACCAACTGATACTCCTTCCTAAACTAAAAGGAAAAACTCAGGCAAAAAAAAAGGTTAGGATACCATTCTTTCGATACATCAAGCAGAACAAGAGACATTCCAATACAAACTTTTGAAATTATCTTGACTCACAAATACTGATTTTTCCACAACTGCTCTTATGAGTAATTTTTCCTGATTCACTACAGCAATTTGCAAAGCATTTGAAAGTAAAGTACTTCCAATTACGCTATATGCCTATTGGTCAGTCCCCAACTAAATTTTGAACATAATTTTGAACACTTTAATCAATTTGAATTCTCTATTCAATCATACAAGTCTAAAATAATTTAACTGCCTGGAAAGTTCATCCTCTTACTACAGCTGGGCACAGGTTGTATATCCTGGCTGGCCAGCAACAACATGCATCACTGAATCCGTAACAGGGCATGCTGCAGTTTATCCAGTCAGAAAGGAACATAGAAGGGAGCAGGAGAAGGAGAAAAGCAAATAGTACAGGAGAAAAGAGGTCATAGATCAGGAGTCAGGATGCAATGGTTCTGTTCCTCACAGAACAATCTGTTCTATATGTGAAGCATATCTAACATGCTTCACATATAGATGCACATCTAATAAAAGAATAATGAATTTTGAAGAGGAAATGCATGTTAGAAATGTTTCCACTAACATATGCTCATGATGAGATGAGAAATTTAGCAATAAACAAGAAACATTCACAAAGTGATGTTCCTAGTCTTGTGAAGAACGAATCTGGTATCAATCAGCTATAAGAAAGCACAGAAAAGGCAAGCTTCATTGCATCTTTACAACCAGGAAAATTACACTTTTGTTGCAGTTTCTGGGAATTAGTAAACCTTCCTTAGTGATAGCTTATCAGTGTGCCTACAGTATCACTTTCAGAGTAAATGTAACAGTTGAAATATTAATGCCTACCAGCAGGCTGCTACCTGCTGGAGATGCCTATTAGAGGAAGTTTAATACTTGAAGTTTAGGAATACTCTCGTATCTATTCCAGTACTACTCAACAAGGTGCTTTCTTCCACTGCCAGTGTGACCTTTTATTTCCCATAACATGCTCAGTGGAGGTTGTAATGGATGCTCAAAGTGGACTTGAGGGACACATAACACAACAGCCAAGCGCTAATTCAAGCAATGCACTCACTTAACTGCAGTGCTGGTCAATATCCTACTCACAACAAATCTGGAATAAACTAACTTCTGTAGTCAGTATGCAGATATGACAGAGTCAATCACAAGTAGAGAGCCGCCCAAGAGCCCTCTGAGCTCCGGGCAGCAGCAGCTTGCACGACAGCATCTCCCCTCAAGGAGGGACACTTCTCAAGGTTACACCTGCTGCAGAGATCTTTAGTCCTGGACACTGAGGGATTCCTTGCCATAACAGGGCCTCAGTAAGTGACTAATAGCTTGCTAAACTTTGTAAGCTTCACTAAGGTTACATTTTAGACTGATTTTGCACATACAAACCTTTAGGCATACACCGTTGACCAAGTCAGGGACTAGGACTGGATCTAGCTGCATCTAGACTCCTCTGAGTAGAAGTTTAGAAAACAAAAGGGTCCTCTCTGAACCTTGTGACTCCATGCAGGGGTCTCCCTGACACATCTGACTTACCCTGTCCTCTATGCAGTATACCTTGTAATCAAGTGCACCTTACCGTTGAATCTTGGTGAACCACTGCTGCATTTACTACCAAACTTTGTTAAACTGCTGTTATATATCAATAAACACATTACTGCCTCTGACTTACAAGTGTGCATCACAAGGTTAGAACAAGGTATGTTCAATGTCATTTTAAACCAAGCTGGATAGCTGCACAACATCCACGTGAGTAAACTCTCTGAACATCGTACTTCCTACTTAGCAGGCAGCTGTATCTTCAAACGCTATGGTAAGATCTGGAAGATTTTACCTATACAATTTTTTCAGTGAGACCAAGGAGGGAAGAGGATACTTGGTCCTAGTTTTTTGTAGCATCAAAATTTAGGGGCACTTCCTTCTATCGTTTGGATACTCTGGAAGTAACAGTCAGTATTGTAAACCAGACAAAATATATTTTATATTTGAACCAGACAAAAAGTTTTAAATTTTTCTAAAAGATTCACAAATCAGACATTGTACTATGAGAGATTTTTATTTTTACTAAACTTGGGACCCTCTAATCTTTCAGATCCAGACTCAAGACTGCACTCCACCTCCCCTCCTGTTTTGTTTCAGCTGGACAGGCTGTAAGCTGCTTTCATTCATGACTGCATAACTTAAGAAGCAGGTATTTGAAGAGAAAGAAGTTCAAATGTGTGAAGCTGGAGACCTTGGTTTTAATTTTTAAAAAACTACTGCTTTCACCATCTTCACTGGAAGATTGAGTATTTTGAGGAGGGCATATATTTAAAGAATGCTTTCTGTTTCTACATAGCCCAGCACACACTTCAAGTTTGTTCAACATGTACAGGCCCCCAAAAAGCATATTTTTATCCAAGGCAAGTCCCACTGGTATTTTAATTCTAGAATTTGATAGTTCCATTTTCTACAAGTTTTCTTCTTGTGTTATTTTGTTTCACTGTATGAAGAACATCTCAATACAAATACAAAATGCTTTTCCACAATTAACATTTCTTAAAATAATATTTGTTTCTATGAAACCAGAAATGCATTAGTTTCTTCAACCAGCGTGATGAAGTTAACTGTATCACTCTTCTATAGCACAAAACGTGCACCTACTTACAGTACACTCAGTTCACAAGTATTTTTGCTGAATATCACCATCTGCAGCAGTTCTGTGCCTGGATAAACAATACTTTGAAGGAACTTGAATATACAACTAATTGTAAATGTATCATAGTTCAGAAACCTCTGCATTTTACTAATTTATTCCTCTGTGCCCTGATGGTTATGACACACCTTTTACTTGAAGTTTCTTTATAACTGAAAGAACACTGTAGAAACATGTTTGTACAGGTAGGTCAGATCTCACAATTAAAAATTAGTATCCAAAACCCCACAAATAAATTATTTATCCCAAATCAAAACATAAGCAGTTCAAAAGGTTCCCACTTACCTCTAGCAAGGAATAATCCAATAATTCCAGCAAAACCTATCACACCAAGCCTTGGATAAAATCCAGCAGGGGGGTTTTGGAGAAATTCATAGCCCTCTGAAAAGAAGACGGAACGAAGTGCTTTAATGTAATGTGAAAGTGGTTTCGTGATAAGGAATCATCAATACATGCTGGCAGTTGTTACAAAACAAAGAGTTATCAAAACACATTTAACTATGATGCACATTTTAGATTTGCTGGCATAAAATTCAAAGCCTTTGAGATCTTCTCTAGTGACCCATGAATGAAACTGAACATCGTATTGTAGTTACCAATTTTCACAGAAGCCTTTGCTCCTGGGCCATCTGTTTTGTTTTGCTCTTTTGCATCTCAATTGTATCTTTTTCAAACTAGTGATAAAAAAACCTTTGCAAAATGGATTGGAATTAGTTTCAATAAAACACTGTACAAAAAACAAATCACAGAACAGAGAAAAGACATAGATAAACAAAGCTCACTCCAAGATGGGAGTCTGATGGGTGAATGGAAGGGTATGTAAAATCTTCTGTACAAAGGAGTTCAAAGGACTGAGACTCTTAAGTTTAAGGAAAAGAGGTGCAGTATCTGAAATGAGTTCTAGATAGCATCCAGGCTCAGTCCTGATAAGCCTAAGGATGACAATATGCTTCCAAAACAAGAAAAAGAAGATACAAATTATTTGGGATTAATTCAAAATTCTTCAGAGATCCAAGGAAGTAAACCAAAACAAAAAGGCTAAACACTACAAATGAAAGACCTAATGCTTGTGACAAGTAATAAACACTGAGGAAATTTCAGTTCCTAGGCTGGGCCAAGCAAATACTACTGGCTGGGGGTAAATGGTGAGGCTTTTTTGACTCCTTTTCCTGCATATTAATCAACAGAGATGCAGGTCTCAGATTTCAATTTGTTAGAAATATAGCATTGTTATGACCTACAAAAGAAATTTAAACAGATACACAGTGCAAAAATGTATGCATTAGAAATTATATCTAGAATGATTCTTAATGGAACTCCCTTTTAACAGAAGATACAGTACAGTCCTGCATTTTAAATTACTAATTAAGAAAACTAAACTGATTTACCTCTACCATGCTCAACAGCTTTTTCTAATTTGGGCATAGCTTGGGCACAAAGATCCTAAAAAAAGAGAAAACAACAGTAAATAGATACCAAGTGAGTAAAATATTTACTACAGATTGTAACTGACCTGATGAATAACGAGTTAAAAAAAAAAAAAAAAAAAAAAAGAAGAAAGTGTTGGGTCCCTAAACCAACTTGCTTTTATTCCCACTTCCACCCTTTGCTTAGAGGGCTATGCTTGTTCAATGTTATGTTTGGCATAACTTACAGCTCTTTCTCAAAGCAGTCTTTGGACACAGATGAAATATAGTGCCTCAAAACACAGAAGTCAAATTCAGTATTTCATAAAGCTTCTGATCAGGAAGCAGAAACTGAGGATTATCTCAGGTTTCTCAGTGGCATAGAAAAAAAATATCACAAAAATACTTGAGTTGCTGCAAAGAAAGGAAGCACAGCACTTCACAGAAGTACATAACTCATTCTGCAAGGTGGTAAATTCCACTTCGCAAGAGACTGGGCCAACAAAATCTTAGATCTAAAACCAGGATCTTAGGCCAACAAAACTGCATTTTTGAAGTGACTTGGTAAATAAGATGTCTGTACAATGTACAAAGTAAATCAAAGAGCACTGCATCAACCTCACAAACTAGTTCTAGATTTATTTCAGACTGAAAATACGCAGGAAGTGATAGAATTCACGTTGCCTTTTATCAAAGCAGAGTAAAAAAAGTTCTCAAGAGCAGCAATGCTGCTAATTCTCATTACGCTGATAATCCTTCAGAGAGACAGTGTAACACTCTGTCAATTGCAGAGCAAATTTGTAAACCTGTATGCCCAAAGCTAAAGCAGAGAATGATCTCACAACACCAGTTGAACTGTATCTATGCAGAAGTGAAAGCATTTGTTCAGGATACTGTGTGGGGATATCATCTGTAGAACTTTCATTTCCTCACTTGTCAAGAATGACTTGAAAAAACCCAACGTGTCATGAGGAGAAAAAAAATAAATAAAAAAATTAGCATATGGCACAACATAACTCTAAATAGATGTTGGGCAATGAAAAAGGAACATGTTCTAAAGACCCCAGAGATTGAGTGTGATGATCTGTCTCAGCTCACACATAACTGTCTCATTTCTACATCTGCATTTTGAACTGACATTCCACTACAGTTAAGAGAGCAATTTTGAAAAAGTAAAATGGATGTACAAACGTAACCAATTTTATTCTCATTATCCTGGGTTATGTTTTTAATTTTAAAGACAACCAAGACACACCTAAAGTATTATTTTCTTTAACATAGCAGTGGGTGGGGGTGGTGTTAAAACAAAACTACCTCTGACTAGAGCTAAGCAAGAATGATGACCTCAAACCCATAAAGTTCACAGGCCCACTTCATAAAATGAGTCAGTAAACCACTGCCAGGAAATGGTTTGTTGTGTGTGAGGCAGAAGAGCACATCTTATGTAAATGAACACCACACAGACAAAAAATAAAGCAAATAAGAAGACAACAGACCAGCAAGAGACAAAGCACTGTTCAAGGCTTACCTGCAGCCAGTCCAACTGGGCAACTAACACCGACTCAAATTTCACTCCCAGTTACAGCTAATACAGGCAACCAAAGAGAGCCCATGCATTTAGGAGGTGAGAGCTCTAACTATTCTATGGAAAATCCCCCTTCCCCTTCAAAACTGAAGTTAGTGCTCCTGCTGGTGGCACTTCAGAGACACATGGCTAGACTGAGTAACCCTGGGTTATTTCTGAAAAAATGTTTCAGCGCTGTTAGAAGTTAGTACCACAACACAGAGCCTTTCTGCTTTTCTAGGCAGAAGGGACACACTAATCTGAACAGCTTGGCTTTTTATGGAGAACTGGAAAACCAGCTTGCAGCTTAAGAATACGACTCACAACAGCCAGAGTCCAAAGGAGAGAATCATATGAAGCCAAGAGGCAACCAGAAGTCAAGGATGCCCTTGTTTCAAAAGTAGGCCTCAATATTTGCTGGGTCAGCAAATAAACAAGAAAGCCATCATGCAAGTCTGCAACATAATAGCATTAATTTAGACCTTAATTACAAAGATCTTGATTTTCCCCTATGCTCCAGAGACTATTTTAGTATTTTATGACTTTTAAGAATAAACATGGTACCTAATAAAATATGTGAGAAAGGGGTAAGGTCTCGGGGCTAGGTTTGCCACTACTAGTGACCTGGGATTTTCTCTCTTCCAGAGAGACACATTCCTTCCTTCAACATTCCAGTTCAGCAAACATTGATTGATTAATTTTCTGCAAAGGTGTGTTTTGTTACAGTTGCAGTGAGGACAACTCAGTAATACTGCTGCCAAAACACACTGCCTGATAATTTAAGGCCCTCTCTTTGTCCATGGAAAATGCAAATTTAATCACTCTCTTGTCTTCCTGAATGACAGGCTAGTACCTAATCCAGATATCCCTAGATATCTTTAAGCTTAAAGTTTATTTCACATAACAATTCTAAGCTTTAGTTAATTTTCTTTTAATTCTTTTGGATACAAGATGCAAAAAGCACAGGTTTATTTCAGCAAATTAGTAGGAAAAAACAACTGGGTTAGTGTGAGGAGGGGCTAAATATTATGACCCAAACTCTAGAAATTTTTAAGTAATGCAGCATTTTGGAAAATTAATTCTGTTGCTAAGAAAAAAATAAATCCCAGCTCAACTCTTATCCTGAACTGAACCACTACCAGAGTGATACAAACCCATTATACCTGACACCAGGCTGTATATGGCTCCATAACATGCCGTAAATGCGAAACCCCCTCTTCCAATTGGGTTTGTGGATTCTCCACATACTTAGTCTCACAAGCTGGAGAGGAGTAGAGTGACAGCTGTGAATATTAGCAAACAAGAAGTTAAAAACAAAGGTGTAATTGTATAAGTAGGTCTTCAGGGCACGAACAGTCTAACAAGAAAACACCTAACACAGTGCTTACTACATAAACAATGCACAATAAAAATTTGGGCACAGCTGTGAGACAACCATTATGAGCAAAGTTTAATTATATACTATGATGAAGATGACTTCTAGCTGCTATGCAATTCATCCATAGCTGCTGTATGATCCAAGTCACAGGTTATAAATTAATATTAAACGAGTTTAATAAGAACACAAAACATAATTGTGAAAAATGCTTCTGGTCTTCATCAGCACTTCTGGGTTTCCAGTTAACATGCTAAATGTGCTAGAAATCACAATTGATCATTTTCTATATTTGCACAAGCCATCATTAAAGAGTCTAAGTAGCTTCTAACAAAGTAACATCCGATACAAATTTGTCTGTTTGTTACTGAGCAGGAAAATGGTAGGACATCCTAATGTTGCAGTCATTAACCACATCAGCAACTGACAGCATTAATAGCACCACGGGGCTAAGCGAATAGGAACTGTGACAATCCACCCAAAGACCAATGGGCATCTTCACATAATAAATACTAAAACCCCATATTTAGGGTTTAGCATAACAACATATTTATTACAATTACCTAAATATATCTAAAATTGTATTGCATTTAAAAATAGACCAAAGTCTGTACTGTTGAAGATGAGCAGCAAAGTTTAGATCAAAACAAAATCTATTAAAATTCCTAGCAGTTTATCATAGAATGGTTTATGTTGGAAGGGACCTTAAAGCTCTTGGGCAGGGGGACCCCTTCCACTAGACCAGGTTGCTCAAAGTCCCATCCACAGCTTCTCTGGGCAGCCTGTTCCACCCTCATAGCAAAGAATTTTTTCCCAGTATCTAATCTAGATCTCCTCTGTCAGTTTAAAGCCATTCCCCCTTCTCCTGTCACTACATGCCCTTATTAAAAGGCCCTTTCCAGCTTTCTTGTAGGCCCTCTTTAGGTACTGGAAAGCTACTATACTGACGTTTAGTATAAAGACTTTGTATTTTATACCACATTTAGCAGTTTATTATTAACTGATGTTTACCCATATAGTTGCATCGAAGTATAGCTAGCCCTCTTTTCAGGGTAAGTTGGAAAACAGCTGTATCTCTGTCATAATTAAAAAAGCTGCTAATCATAATAAAATATGACAGAGAATTTGTCAAATAATTCCATAGCTCGTGCAGCTGGATTTCCCATACTTTGAACGACAGGCATTTTAATTCTCATTTCCCTAGGAAATCCGGTCATCCCTGGCAATTACAGTCACAATCAGTTTAACTCTGATCCTGTTACACAACATAATAGCCATGTCTGGCATGAGGACAGAAGCATCAGAGATAAGGAAGTTCCCATACATTTTATGAAACTAGACAGCTGACAGAGATCCAAACTAACATACTCTGTGAATGGTAAGAAAGGCAGCCAAAACTCCAGGGCTTGCACATTCTGCTTTGCTGAAGCTGATGGGCAAGCCAATTATTCAGTACATATGTAACCTGAAACTGTTGCCTCATTACTGACTCACGCCAGTGGTGGTGTAGGGCACGCGACAGCCCAAGCTAAGCTTACTTCACTGGGGTGAAGCCAGGAGACTGCTGCAACTACTGATCCTGTCAAACCATGAACTGCCCATTCAGACGCATTCAAAAGACCTGAGTATACACTCGGTTTCACCTAGTTTCACTGCTCATGTAACAACACTTTAGCTTGGGTTGAACTACTTAAAGTTTTTAAACAGCTGCAGACTCTCATAGATATAAAGCTGTATTTAGTCATGAACTGCAACAACTATTGTATTTTTTACTGTGGGAGACTGCTAAAATCCTATGCAACAATGCTGGTGAGTCTATAGTTTGACAGGGTGTTTTAAAATTCTAGTTGTGATATAACCAAGATATCTGTAACATCTCAGAGAAATAATAAAGTAGCAGGGGTTTATTATCAGTATTTATTGTATTTGTTGTTGCTTAGGTCTGAATGCTGTAAGGAAAGGAAAACTCTAGGCTACTATGTCTGATTCAAAGCATAGCCAGACAAGAATTCCACCTGGGAAAAAAAAAAAAAAAAAAAAAAAAAGGAAGGAGAATATTTTTAGAAACAAAACCTTGTGATTTTCAGTTTTACAGGAGAATATATGTGAAATTTCATTAGAATGTGCCAACAGTACTCGTAATAAAAAAATATATGGTGTTACCTGGATTTAAAAGAAGAAAAAAACAACCAAAAAACCCCTGCAGATGTGAAATACGACAAGTGAATTTACAAACATCAAAAGGAAATTTCTGCATGAAGAACGGAAGTCTTTAATGTAGGAAAATATCTTGCCCACAAACAAGCCTGATGCTATCAGAGGGCATCAAATGCAACCCTCAGGTAAAAGAAGCAAAATTATATTGACATCTCTGATACCAAAAACCGAGAAGCCGTTTTAAAGGCAAGAATACAAAAGGTGAATAGATGCCCCTAAATGCTTTCACGCATCAAAATACAACGTCTTTCAGAACTCCATAGATATGTCCATAGAGACAGAAGAGAACTAGGGCTCTAACCACACTTACCTCCTCAATTTTCAGCAACTCCTTTTTGGAAGTCTCTTTCTCTGAAGAAGCGGCATACACCTGGGTAGAGAACAAGCTCAGGCTAACAGGGGTAGCCCCCAGCCGAATTACCTGGAAACATTACAGGAAGACATGTAAATAATTAAATTCAAACAAAATGGCAACATGTCTGAACACATCCATTTAGACAATGTTTATGTCCCTACATATGGCAGTAAGTGATACATTAAGATGCTCAGGAGTTCAGAGAAAGGGGAGTTTGTGGTACACAATCTTGATGCCCTCAGGGCACCCAAGTGATAACACCTAAATTGTTTGGATGGTATGTGGAAAAGCCTAAGTCTAAAGGATACAACAGATATAAAAGCTAATCTCATCAGCTTTCAATTCACAAAAACATCTTCTGTTTTGTCTCACTTGAAACGTGATTTTCATTAGCTTTCTCACTATAGATACTAACAACATCATATTCATATTTTAAACAACTTCATAGATGTCCATAGTTAGAACCCAGAAGTTCAGCATCTAGATTTAGGAAAAAAAAGAGACCTAGACTTGAAAGTATCAGAACATAATCACTGTTCTCTAGGAATTTTATGAATGTCTTCTACTTTTCTGTGAAAAACATGAATTACAGTTCATCGTGACAGATGCTTCACTGGTTTTGAATACAACAGATTCAATCCAGTCACACAACACAGCCAGCATGAGTGGATATCATTCTTCTGATACTCAGGGCTTACACTAAAATGTATTTCTTAACAGGATAGACTGCTTTAACTTAAAAAACAAAAGATAAAAATCTTAGTTGTGTAGTGAATCAAGAATGCACAGAAAGCATCTTCCAACACACACACATCCTTATTAACAGCGGCATTTAACTCAAGAAACAGCAGTTCAAATAAGAAACCTTTCAATGTCTCATTTCTGTTACTGCTCCGACAGAAGCATGTGGAGTCACAACAGCCTGTGTTCTGTTGCATCAGGTTACAGCATGAGTATGCGACATCAGATCTACAGGATACAGCATGAGATCTAACAGCCTGTGGCCACCAAAGCGGAGCAGTGTGGCTGTGCTGGCGGCACCGGTTCCCAGAAGTCCTGCTGCTCACCTTGCCCTAGCTCTGGTGGCCGGACGCTTCCACCGCAAGGCAGTTCACCTCGCCAGTTTGGCAAAAGATTAATCCTGAAAGAGAAGCGGAGAACTTTCTGCGGGCTTAGTAACTGCACCCACCCATGAAAGAGGCTGACAAGCACCAGAGGAACTGTGTGGCCAGGGAAGAGGGGATGAAAAAGGAGAAGGCAGCAAGCCCTCTTCCTTTTCAGAAATAGTAAGGGTATATTACATTGACCTAGCTGCTTGTGAAACTGAAGCCTTGGTCAAACCAATACATCTTTTATGCTGTAATGATAACTGACCTATCCACAGAACAATTACTCATAAACTTTGTTTCTGTCCACTGCAGAACTGTTACAAAATAGCTTTGAAGTTATCGAGACTACATGCCTATTCTGTACAGATCAGCACTTGTAGCTTAAATTTCTTCCACTGCTTTGCAGATGGAATATTTATTAAACATAACCAAGAGACTCCTCAAACTCAAAATTACACTATATAGTTGTCAAACTTCTTGAAAATGTTGAGAAGCAGCACACAAGAACTAGGTCATAGGGTTGCTTTTCAGAAAGACATAAGGAATCTGATGGATCAGAAGGTACAGAAAAACTTGCTTAAAACTGAAGTTTTTCCTTATTTGAATTTACAGACTCATTATTACAGCACCATAATGAAAGACCACAATGACAGGATCAGCTGTTCCACAGCCAAGGAAAGACACAAATGATCTTTCACAGTGTTTGCTTAAACGAAGACTTTTCACATACTTTCATTACCAACATAAAAACATGAACACCACTAACCATTAATAGCTGTAGAATCTATTTCCTCAATCTTTCCTTTTTTTCCAGTGCAAAACTGAAAAGGCAGAAATCTAAATGCATTTTCATTCTGAAAAAATATTTTCAAACACTGTAAATGATGCTAAATGTCACCAGCAGAAACAGTAAGTCCAAATGCCTTAAATACTTGAGATTTTCACATAAAGATGCAAACAGAAGAGCTTAAGAACAGAAGCACCTTGATTTCACAAACATATCAGCAATCACAGAACAACTTGGACTGAAAACATCAACTGTTCGTATTACCAAAACACTGAAGCACAGACATATTCCCAAGGTTCCACATTTACATTTTAAACAAAAGGAAATTAACCACTAAAATTGCAAGATGAATCTCTCCTTAATGTGCTGTTTAAGCTATGCTGCATTATTAGCTGCATTATTAGCTAAGTTAAGGACAGACACAACCAGTACAAAGGCACTGTATAAATGCACACGCTGAAAGGCTTATTTGGTTGTATGAAAGTCTAACCATTCTACTTTTCATTTCCAAAATTCATTTTAGGATCTCATTTCCTAATTACATCTTAACCACGCATTACTAAACCCACTGGTTCAGTAAAACAGCTTGATTGAGTCTGCTTGTCTTACAGCTGTTCAGCTGTGCCAAAAAAAGCAGCCAATTTTCCTTTCTCTAGGCAATACTCTGCATTTACTTTAAGTAAAATAAAGATACTGAATTCCTTTCTCTAGTTGAAGAATACACCTTTATCTGTAGACACCAGATCATTGTAAGCAAAATGTGTCTGAAAGTTGGAGAGAAAAAGACTATCATATTTCATCTTCTATTGTATTGCTTCACCATCTTTCTCAAAGTTCTTGCTTCTTAACTGAAAAATGCCTCTAGTAAGAATAAATCCTGTATTAGTTCTTAATACAAACAGGGGAATGGAGAGCTAAAGATAAATGAGAACTTGTCTTTTTCCCTTTTGCCTGTGACTTCTCAGTTCACTTGTTACTGTTACTGTCACTGTCACCTTGTCAAAACTAGGGAAAGGAGGAACAAAAGGAGAAAATCCCTGATAATACTTTTGTGAAGGCCAATATTTGTCCTAACGTATAAAGCTGCTTCGTTTTTCTCTTTTTCTTATCTCTCAACCCCAACTAAAACAACAAAAAACCAGAACCCAGACTCTTGATCCCTCCTGTTCCCTTAAGGACAGATATCAAGGACAAGAAGCCCCCTTCCCCTTTTGCTCTAGTAGCAAAAAATTAGGTTGGCCTGAAGCACCGAAATCTGCTTAACCTCAATGGCTGCTTAAAAGCAGTAATATTATACACAGTACCTAAGCCCACAGGTCCACACATAACCCCTTTAATGACAATTCAGTACTGCTTATAGAATTATCAACAACTCTGAGATAAAATCCTTACATAAAGATTTCAGCAATTGTCCCAACATTAATGTATATAGAAAAAAAATGACAAAAGACTGCTCAGTATCAATATATTGATATATTATCAATATTTGACCAAAAAAAAGAAAAATTACGAAAGAGAAGGAATTTCAAGAATCAAGTGTCACCAGTTCCAGTTTGACTGAAACACACACCTTGCTTTTACCCTGAAGGGGAATCTGGGGCTGTTCTTATCAGAGATAAAGACTTTTGAGACCATTATGTGACTTAAACCCAGGGCGGGTACCTCACTCCTTTCCACAGATGTAGCCGACAACCCTCGTACACTAAAGGGAGACTCTGAAACCAGTCACAACTGTACGGATCCAGGAGCATTAACTCACAGCTTCACGCCGCCGTATCCGAGCAGTAACTGTAAGTAACCACACGTGGCCTCCATGGGTGCCTTTCTGTGCAACACGGATAGGGCACGCGGTTTTGAAACGTTAAAACGAGGGACTGCGTAGCTGCTACATGAGTAAACCCAACCGCTTGTGGGAGTTACACACAAAACTCTCGGGGCACGGCTGCCGCCTGATAGTAGGGACTTTAGCACGGTTTCAGCTGGGACGCGAAACCGCTCGCT